ATTTATTGCAGTTTTTGATCATCTCGGGCAAAACGTTCAGGCACGTTAATATCTTGATGATGATAGATTTTTGATAAATCCTGCAGCCCTACTTTATAGTAGCACAATGCAGTCAGGCACGTATGGTTCTCCTCACATTTGACAAACCTAGACTCATCCATCAGACTGCCAAATAGAGAAGCCTGATTCTTTACTCAGAACACAGAACACATTACCACTGCTCCAGAGTCTAGTTCATACAACTCCATCTGACACATGGCATTGTGCTTGGTGATGTAAAGCTTGCATGCATCTGCTTGGCCATTGAAAACCATGCCATGAAGCTCCTGGTGCACTGTTTTTGTGATGATGTTAATGCCAGAGGAGGTTTTGGTACAAGAAAGCAATAAAAATAACACAGTTATTGAGTGAGCTCTTTAAATGCCCATTCTTTCACAAATGTTTGTAAAGGCAGACTGCATGGCTAGGTGCTTGATTTTATAAACCTGTGGCAATGGGTTAGGGTTAGGGGCTAAATGAAATACATGAATTGGAAGATTAAGAGGTGTGTCCCAATACTTTTGTCTATATAGTGTAGCAGCTATCAAAGACTCCTGCAGATTGAACTGGACCAAACAAACACTCTGAAACTCTAGAATACTCACTGTAAACATGGTTGAAAATGTTCGTCTCACCTAGCAACATGACAAAGCAACATATAATCCACAGTGCAACACTTTGAAAATATCATAGTTACACTCGTACTCTCTCCATTCAAAATAATATCTGTTGTGATGAATGAATGCACAATTGTCTGTACTAGATCTGTCTAATATGAGAGTTATTATGGTATTTTCTCTCTCCAGAGCAGTAGGGAACTCTCATCATAGTTTTTGTATTTTTATTCTACAAGTTTATAAGTTTGTATGACAAAGTTCAAGGGGAAGTATATGAGGTGTCAATGAAGTAGCACTTTCTAGTAAAAATTCCCATAGATTTGTGAAACTTAATAGGCAGATATATCTAGGGATGTCACAATATGAAATTTTTGTGCCAAGATTATTGTCAGAGGAAGAATATTTAGCAAATATATAGCAAATAATATAGCTAATTAAATAAAATATTTATTATTATCACCAAAATATCCGGTTAGTTTTTAAAATGTAACGTTTGGCAATTTAAAAGTAATTTATGTAAGCAATTTTATTTAGATTCCTTATTGTGGAAGGTTGGTCAGTGAATTTGTGTTTCCTGTCATCATAAGTAGTGTATCTGTGTGGCACTTTAATTCTGAAGGGCCGACAAAGTTGTTCTGTTTTGTGAGCGAGGTGTTGACTAGTTGTGAAAAGGTAAACAGGTAAACTCAACTGGTTCAAGCCACATTCTTCATGTAGTTATTATAATATTACCTCTCAGATGGGAGGGGGAGGGAGAGAGGGGGAGGGAGAGAGAGAGAGAGAGAGAGAGAGAGAGAGAGAGAGAGAGAGAGAGAGAGAGAGAGAGAGAGATCTCCCCTCTCTGTGAACTCCTCAGATGGAAGTCTTTGTCTGACGTCGGTGGAAATAAGGCCGTTGAGTCAGTTTCCTCTTCTCAATTAACGATACAGTGGCTTGCGCACCCAAAACGAGACTCGCGAGACATTTCACCGCGCAGCACACACACAAATAACATGACTCGCAAGAGGCAGTGTTATGGAATTTTCATAGACACTGTCTCTTGTCCTCTCTGGGGCAGAGTGCAACAGGCTGTCGTGTTTGGGAAGTGCGAGAGCTTGGCGAAGGTCAAAGCCTTCACTCCCTAGACATCACAGATATGAGACTGCGTAAGCAGGCACTACTGTCTCCATAACTAGTAAATACATTTGATTGTTTAGGAACTAGCAGACCCATAGATTAAATAATCTGTTGGGGTTTAAAGTGTGACTGAAGGAAAGCAGACTTCAGAATATGAGAGAGCATCATGCACAGACGTTGTATGGATGAATTCTGATTTTCTCCCTGGCCAAGCGTCAATAAATATTTCAGCATAAGACATCAAAGGGCTCCTGAACGCTTTCTTCATTGATGAGGTGACCATTGATCAGCAGGTTTTCCACAACAGGCAGGACACCATAGTTAGA